CAGGTGAGGCCTATTCTTGAATATAATTCATTGATCTGGTTATCATTTTACAAAGTTGATTCTGATCTTCTAGAGGGTTGTCAAAATGAATTTTTAAGAAGTTGTGCATATCACATGGGATTCAATAGGGATGAACATACCTATCCACAAGTATTAGATATTTTGAAAATGAATTGAAGAAGAATTGAAATTGATCTATTATTCCTCCATAAAATTATCAATGGCTACATTGATTCTCCTGAACTTGTTGCTCTGACTATTCGCTTTCCGCAAATACTAGGAGAAACAGAAATAGTGACATTTTCAAAATACCATTCTGTAGGACAAATTATGGCCAAAATGAATCCATGAATAGAATTATTAAAACAACAAATACACACAATTACCAAATTGAACTGTTCAATTCATCTTTATGTTCTTTCTGGAAAGCGATGAAAAATGTTAATAACTTCATCCTCATCTTTTTATTCGTTTTAGCCTTCAACATTTTTATCCTTTGTGTTAGTCTTTTTCATAGATATAATAATATGTACGTGCTCTGTATTTTTATACTGTCTTTTTGTAAATTGCATAATTGGGTTGTCCGTTAATGAATAAATGAATAAATAAATAAATATCTGGGAACTATCACTATAAGTTACTATAAAAGAACTAGCATAATACTAATATTTTTAGGAGATGTAATCGGAAAAATATTGAGAAATGAATAATTTGTCTTTATCTTAGGTAAACAATGCTGCATAATTTTTAGTTGGTGAATGTTGATTTTTCATGCAGGTGCCCACATAATTACTTCCTTTCAAACTAGTATTTGATCAACTAAAAAGGGTACCGCATGATATAATATTTCGAAGCCGAAATCATCGAAATATGTTGGCTCCAACCACTTAATGCCTCCTTCAAGTATTATTATCTAACTCTCACTTTTACTGATGAAAAAGTTGAAGTTTTGCATTATTATATAAACCACGTACCACTCATATTATATGCAATTCTTGATGACTTTGACGACCAAACAAAACAAGACAACTATCAAAGTCATGTAAGCATTGCCCCGATCTTGGAAAGTAATTATGAAATAAACTCGAAAGAAAGTTCAACTTACTTTCTATTAAGATTATAGTGAACTTGATTCTTGAACTTAGCATTGATCACGTTGTGTTCAGAATTTTTTCCATCAGAAGTTATTAGAATATACAATGGAAATGCATCATGAAAATAATGATGATATCGTTTATAATTGCTATAATTGATCAGTTGACATTGCCATCAGTGAGAATAATTACATATCGTTTCCGGCAGAGTACACTAATACTATAACATTTATACGTAATTATGAGTATTGAAAAAAACAGAGTAAGAATATCGTAATAAAAATTGTTACAATAGTGCTACAATATTCATGACGTCAAATTTTCCAGGAGCATTCTGAGATATTCGCAAAAAACAGCACTATTTTTAGTTCTTTGCCCTTCAATATACAATATTATATTGAAAACTTTCACACCAAAAATTTTCGATCAATTTGAAGCTTGTATTTCGTATCGTTACCGCAACTAAACAAATTTCTTAGAAATTTTATCCTCCTCCTTGGGGGACAGAGCATGAGTTACACTGGGAAGTTTTTGACGTGTATAGGTTGAATGTCATCCATATACATTCAACTTCAGATTATTTCAAGTTCATTCTATGAGTCAATATATAATAGTAGATTGTTTTATTAGGATCAAAAGTGACATTTTGTTTGACAAGCGAATTTTGCATTTGCGAGGCGGAGCGTTTAGCGAAGCCGAGCGAAAGCAAAATTTGCGAGTCGAACAAAGTCACTTTTGATCCGAATGAAACATGCTATTTTTTCTGCAACCGAAACAAATAACTCAAATAAATATGTGCAGTTACCACCAATACCGTGCCATATGTATGCAATGCAACAAATATTGAAAAATAATCCGTGTGGTGAGAACATTCTACCTGCATCAACAGCAGGTTCATTCAATTTTCAAGGATGTTCGAATTGTAGTTTCAATATAAATACAATCACAGAGTGACATACTTGTGTATGGACCAGGTGCTCTAATGGCAAATACCGCGTCAGTGCCAGCTATAGAAACAAGACTTGGAAAATGTTAGGTTAGTTAGCACATCAACAATAAGAATAGCAATTATGTTTTCCTCTCCGTAATACAATGTTTGTCGCTTGATAATCAAATGAAGGTTAACAATATCGTTATTTGAGACAAAAAACTATTGCTTACCGTGATTATCCAAGAACAAGTTATCCATCCCGAGAATAACGAATGAAATACAGATCAAGCAAGTATTTGAATCTTGAAGGCTTCCCTGATCAAAACAAAAATACTTAACTGAGATGTTTATAATTTCAATACTAAACTATAATAAGGTGTATTTATATCTCCAGCATGGGTATGAAATGCCAAATCTGCTAAAATCGGAAACAAATCAGGTATGCCTCTCAACCCAAATAACCAACCGTCACAATGTTGTTTATTCTTGATGATGTCCAGTAGATCCTTTTTAGTTCCTAGGAGCTAAAGTTCAACTTCAGCTCCTAGGAACTAAAATTCAACTTTAGCTCCTAGGAACTAAATATGTTGCCTAGCAACATACCTATTTTTGTGTCAGTAATAGAAACGTCAATTTAAGAGCTAATTTTGGTATCAAAATGGACGACTTTTGTGTCGGTTGCAGAAAAAAATCATTTATCAACAGTTCACCATATAATATTATGTAGGTATACTTGCAAATTCGAAATTTACAGAAACACATGTTATTACTATACGTTAGTTCTTACATTTTATCACAAACTACCATCATTTTCATAAAAATACTATACCTACTCTTCAGTTCTGACATGAAGAATGACATAGGTGCGTAAATAAAAAAAAAATATATTATTCTTTTGAGTTAACATACAAAGCCTACTATTCAAATGTCAAAATCATCAAAAATCGTCATTATCCAAGTAATTTTTTAATAATATTTCAGTGTGAATTTTCTTACCGAATACCACTTCAGCTTCAATTAATATCCGGGAATTTTTACTCGAACACGAATATTTATAGAAAATTCGTGTTCTCGAAAGAATTTCCGGAAATAATTGGAGCTCTCGTGATATTCTAAATGAAAAAACCTCTCTATAGAACGAAGTAGATACATCTTTTCAATATATAATTGTTGATTCTCACTCATAAAAATGTAGGTCTATCGGGTAAGGAGCATCAAGAGCAAGTTGAAGGTTTGCCAAATTTGAGTACTCTGCAAAAAATAGCATTCTTTGTCGATTTTCACTTATAATACCACGAGAAATTACCGGAAATTATTTCGAGAACAACAATATTTTGAAAATTTTCCCGAGTCAAAAACGAGGGAGAATTTTCTGAATATTTGTGGTAGGTAGTTCAAACTATTACTCTGACTAACTTTATTCCACTAAAGTGGGTGGAAATATATTTTGGTACGAGGACTCGACAGTACGTGAACTTGATATAACCCATACGCAGGTTAAATAAAACACAGTTAACTTACTTTAGTTACACATAATAATAAAAAATAGTTTGGTATTAGTGTTAACTAGCACTTTCCTCCCTTGTTATATAAATAGACATTTCTTACAAGGAACTTAGCAATTTATAGAATGAATTCGACGTAATCTGGAGTTGAATGTAGATGTCATTTCACCTATAAACGTCAAAAAGGGTCCAGTGTAATTTCATGCTACTTCTGACCACACACTCATCTCCACAACCTGCCCATTCTTCATTCCATCAACTGCTCCGGCACCCCCACGTCTCATATGGCATTACAATTCAGGAGATTGGGACGGTCTCCGCATGTTTTTCTCCGAGTTTCCTTGGCATAGAGTATGCTTTGACTCTGAGGACCCTTCACAGTGTGCTGCGGAAATATCCGAGATCATAATGCTCGGAAGGGACACATACATACCTCATTCTTCGAAAAGATCATCACCATCGAAATCCTATAATTCAACCAAAACTGTTCTAGAACGTTGTCAACCTCGAAAGATGTCGAACAGTACTTTATCAAAACTCCTTCATCCATAGAACGGCTAGGCTCTGTAATTCGGGGAATGCGCGATGTTCTCTGAACATTATAGGGACTCCCTTTCGTGCGCTCCAAGCGATAAAAAAAAGGAGGAAAACATTTCCAGAAATGTGTTCAGTTGTTGTGGTAACGATACAAAATACATCGTCGAGCGTATAGGTCACTCGTAATATGCATTCCTGTACAGGGTGAACAACTAAGAACAGCTGTCGGCCTCATATCTCAGCAACGAATAATGATACAAGTTTGAGATAGAATACATCCAATGGTATGCATGTCATTACACGATCTTATAGAGAAACTAAATCTCAACAGACCAACGAAAACCGCAACATGATAGCTTATCGCCAATGGAACCATTGTTTTCATGTAAACCCACAAAAATGATCTCCTGATGATACCTACTAATAAGGAAATTTGACAAATTGTTTCGGCTGTAAATGACCCTTTTCAAATAATTTTGATGATGCAAATCCAAAGGTCTTAGATCTCTAATGAACTTTGAACGATTAATGAAAAGCATGCATAACCATATTCATTTGTATCCAAGAGTAGCTATATAACTGATATAATAAGATAAGTGAACCATGTAGGAGTGGAACATCTTGATTGATTTTTATCTTTCTATTGTTTTGCTAACTTCACCTATCACTTGCATTACAGAACATCTGATATCAACTTATTATCTCTTATTATGCTGCGCTTACATCTCATGTTGTTGCTTTCAAAACATTTTTCAGAATCTTTCGTTTTTAATATCATCATTAGCATTTTATAGTGATGATGAATTAATTACTATATCTCTGAATCTGGTTACATTTGAAGTAAAAGCATTCATAAAAAATAACAACGTATATATCTTGAAATTTTTCCGTCTGATCAGCAATATATATTTCAACATTTGTTTTTTGTTTCAGGAGTTGAGGAAACAGTAGGTTTAGTTAAAGGTTTAGGCGGAAAAGCCTATGGCTTCGAATGTAACTTAGCAGATAAGGATGATGTATATAGGGTAGCCAAAAAAACTCAACAAGAAGTTGGTAATGTGAGTATTGAAGATATTTTAGTTACCTACTAATAAACTATTTGTATGTGTACTAATTACTTACGAAATGATCTTTCAAAATTCAGTTTGATCTTTGTACTTTCACTCTGTAACTTTTTACAACCATGTTGATATCGTGATATGCCAGCTCATAACTGTAGGATACTTATTTTTAGGTTAATATCCTGATAAACAATGCGGGTGTAGTTTCAGGCCAATTACTACTTAACACTCCAGATCACCTCATCAAAAGGACTTTTGATGTCAATGTTATTTCACATTTCTGGGTAAGTATAGTTATTTATTATACAAGGGAAAAAAGTAGTAGATTTTAGCTCCAGGTTGTGTGAGCTAAAATCTAATATTTTTCCCGTGTATAATACACTATTTTTTTCTGTGGCAGAAGGAAGGACGAATCAATATTGAGAAGATATTACATTATTTCGAAATCTGAAAATTATCGACGTGAAATTTCAAGTTTTTAACAGTAGGGACACCTGCGTTTTATAGACATCTTTATCATTCTTTTGAAGTAATCAAATATTCGATGTCACTTCTGTCAGTTCAATTCTGTGATTTAATTTTAAAAAATTGCGAATTCAGTAGATGTTTAGTAATATACGAAACCGCGAAGTCGAATGGAAGATAAAAGGACTTGCAGTTCTTTCTCGGAGACGGTATTATTGACTCATTTTTCGGAACTATAGCACAACAAAAGCCATTAACAGAGTATATATATGTGATATATATCCAGGAAAAAAGTACTCACTTTTATCCCACGGGAAAAGAGTAATTTATGAAAAGTGACATTTTATAACCTGCCAACAGAGATGAAATGCCAAACTTTTTTCCCGTCACAGAAAAAATAGTTTATTTAACCAACTAGCGTATCATCAGTTGTGCGAGTTGGTTACAAGATTTTTCCTTCTGTACACTATCTCAGCACAGATTCCTGAGATCAAAGTGAACCGATTTAAAGGCACTAACCTCAGTCTGGAATTGCTCCGTTTCCGAGATACAGGGTGGTAAAGTGACAGAATAAAAATCGAATTTCTCCGAATTATGAACATTTTCGAACGTATTACTTCAAAAATTGATATTTAGGGGTTTTTGGAATGGGAAACACGATTACGGTCACCTTGTCACTGTGATTCTTTGACATCATTGGAACACCGTAGAAAAGTCGGCATCAGACTACTTCACTTTGTTACTATTTGTGTTGAAATGCATTATATCATGAGATACTATAGGCACGAATTCAATACTATTCCCAAAACGTGGATGCCGTGCCATATGTATGCAATGCAACAAATAATATGGTGTGGTGAGAATATTTCACCTGCATTTTACTTGCATTTGCTTGAACTGTAGTTTCAATATAAATACAACCACGGTGTGACACATTCGTGTATTCTATTGAATCGATGAATCGATGAATTCATTTGGACCAGGTGTTAGCCCTAATAGCAAATACCGCGCCAGTGCCAGGTATAAAAAAAAGAAGTCGAAAATGTTAGGTTAGTGAGCATATCAACAATGATGATAGCGATTATTTAGTTTTCTCCATATTCCACTGTGTTTGGCTCGGTAATCAAATGAAGGTGAACAATATCGTTGTGTGAGACAAAAAAGTATTGCTGGCCGTAATTATTCAAAAACAAGAGAATAACGAATCTAATACAGATCGAGCAAGTTTGTGAATCCTGAAGGCTTTCATGATCAAAACAAAAATACTTATCGATTCATAGAATATTCTGTACTGTCTGGGTATTTATTTTATTTACCTACTCAATAGTGAAGATATACCGAACCATCACTTGAAAATCTATGCTTGAAATCACATGAACAATTGAGGAGAAAGTGTTTATATACAAGGTGTTCCACGATGGATGGAACGTTAGACGTATCTGGAGAACCGAACGACATATAATTTCGAAAATTTGTGGTCTTGGATAATCAGGCAGGCTCTATCCTTCTGAAATATTTTCGACAATGCGAAAAGGAACACCATGTATTTCATTACATTTTTCAGATTCTCTCCCATGGGATAATCATGCCAGATCCATCGCGAAAGCTGCTTCACAAAAACCGTGCGAAAAGCTACTTTACACCTCAACAGCTTCTCATGATTTACGAACAGTTGCGACCTGTTCTAGAATACTGTTCTCACATATGGGGTTCAGCACCCAAACAAACTCTGATGCTCTTAGATCCCATCCTTCTGCTGGGTGATGCCACACTCACTAATACTTTGACATCATTGGAACACCGTAGGAAGGTCGGCGACCTTTCACTTCTCAATAGATACTTCCACGGGAAATGTCTATCAGAAATCTCTGCTCTTATTCCATCACTAGCAATACCAATCAGACGAACTCGACAAGCTTAGTCAGCACTCTTTTGGTAGTCAACCTCAAGATATGTCGAACAACTCTTAACGAAAACTCATTTTTTCATGTAATGCCAAAGCTCTGGAATTAATTTACAAATGAAGTAGGTATTCTGTCTCTATGAGCAATCACAAAATAAGTTTAAAATTCTTATTCCTCATGTCAAAAAACCTAGGAATAAAAAGTTTTATGTTCATGCTGTTAAAACTTACGAGGTTATTGAGAAATTTTAAAATAAAATCTCCCCCTTGACACTTCGTATCTCTCAACCCATCAGCAACATTCTTATTAGGGATGCCAACCTGAATCTTTAAATGAGGCGCCCTGTATTTTATTTCATAATCGCTTACGGATTATTATAGAGAATTCAACGATACTGGGTGTGATAGGGTTATTTAAAACTATTACGAAAATATTTGCCTTTGAAGTTAATCCATATAATCAATAGGTGTGATATTGATGGAATTAACCTCATTTCATCTCTAACAGAGATTATAGAACAAAATAAAGGGTGTCCCATTTAAACATCGAAAGTTGGGTTCGTTTTCGGTGAAACATTGATGAAACAAACATTTGTTTGTCAATAAATGTATAATTTGGTATACTTGCTACTCACAATGCGATCTGGAATGATTCTGAAGCTACAGCACTAGCCCTTTTAGGTGCACACTCCTCTGTATTTTCTTAAATCAACTACAACTGGCATTGCTAGTGAATGCTTATCGATTTTGATGAAATTTCAGACTGTGAAAGCATTCTTGCCGAAGATGATCGAAAAGGATCACGGCCACATAGTGACGATAGCTTCGATGGCTGGCCACATCGGAGTGACGAAGCTGGTGGACTACTGCGCATCCAAGTACGCAGCCGTAGGCTTCGACGAAGCTCTCAAGGTAAGAAGCATCTCAGGAAATAATTGTGCAATTGGCCTATTCCTCCTATTTCAACTCCGCTGAATCCGAAAATGCTTCCCAGCAAACATGTATTGTGCAGGCCTTTGGACGTCATTCAAAAACTACCAACAGACAACATCAGCGGGCCACTAGCATGATGAATAGTTTGCCCAGCTAGCCCGTGTCACACTGGCCGCCAGTATGCCACTGGACTATCTGCCGACACTACTCGGTTAGAAATGAAAAAAAGGGCCGAAACTCGGTCTCGAACCGGCGCTTCAACGGAGATTATATCCAACGTTAGACGCTCATACAATTACGCTACCGCGGTTCTTGAAGAATATTGGTTATGTTTATGAGGTTTAATATGTTTGATGACGTCTGATAATGTTAAAGCCATATTACTTTTTCAGTTTCTGATTTTTACTGTGATCATTATGTTTGTTATTGATTTGGTATTGTCTTCACCTTTGAAGTTGTCAACTGGCCCAGATGAGATCCCTTTGTATTTGATGAAAAATTGTATTTATACTTCAGCAAAACCTATTCACTTGCTGTTCAATTCATCTCTTGAAAAGGGGAAGTTACCTAACAACTGGAAACACGGTTTTGTCAAACCTATTCATAAAAGTGGTTCACGGTAGGATGTTAGCAATTATAGAGGTATTTGTAATCAGTCGGAGTTGCCGAAAATGTTGGATTGTTTGATCACTAAAAAACTATCACCAACAACATGGTTTCTATCGAGATCGATCAACATCAACAAACCTGTTGCTTTATCAAAATTATATCACAAATTCATTAGAGAATGAACTGCAAGTAGGCTCTATTTAGTTTTGACTGCAACAATTCAAGCTTAAACGAAAAAATTCTAGATAACAAAAAGTAAACAAAACTCCTAGGGATAACTTTAGACGAGAAATTGAAATTTGATCAGCATGTTGCAGCTCTAACTAAAAAATTGGCATCCGGATGTTATGCTCTTAGAATTGTCACTAATGAATTGAGTTCATCTACAGCAAAGATGGTCTATCACTCTCTCATCGAATCTCATATGAGATATATGGAATAGCTTTCTGGGGATATTGTAGCCAACAACTTTTTCAATCAGTGTTTATACTGCAGAAACGTCCTATAAGGTTCTTAGGCAAGGTAGGTATTCGAGAGTCATGCAGACCACTGTTTTCAAACTCAGGAATTCTCACTCTGACAAGTTTATTCATATTGCAAACGGTATGTCTGATTCACAAAAAGTATATGGCTGAGACTACAGTACAAACAAATCATGTGACCCGACAAATAACAGAGAGGAAAATTGCTCTACCCATTCCAAAATCCAGTTTGACAAAATTTATAGAGTTATTTCAAGTAATCAGGATAAGTTACGTATTCAGTATCTTGTAGTACTAAACCTTCGACTGCGCCATGTTTGGATTAATAATATACTCTCTTTATTTCCTATAAGTGACATTAACCCTTATAACATTGACATCTCCATCATACTCAAACTTCCATGTATAGGGTGATCCATACAGGGTCCAAACAAATTGACTGGATATATGTGATAATTGTCAGGACAATGATTACATAAGCCTCACAGCAAACGACGCAGGCAAAGCTCTCTAGTATACAGAAACAGGCTTGTCTTACGAACACGGTGGCGATCAGCACCACACCGTCAGCAGCTATAGAAATCTTTCTTTCTATCCCAGTTCCTTCTTCAGATATCAGGGGCAGCATGTTTACAGTAGGTGCTGAAGGGAAAAGATGTTTGTCAACCCTAGCAAGACTCATAGTATCCTTCACCACTTTTCTTCAGTGGTGAGGTGATTCCATTAGCAGCGGAAGTTAAAAATCTGATGTATTCGCTCACTTGGGAAAACTTCTTCACGAAGCTAGAATATTCTTATGGATATTTCGAAGGATTCGAGGAAAATCTTGGGCCCAATTGAATCCACTGGCATCAATCGATGCAGGCAAAGCTCTTCAGTATAGGTACAGATACAGGCTTGTCTAGCGATCACTGAGGCCTTAAAAACCACACCGTCAGCAGCTATGGAAATCCTTCTAGACTTCTATTCCAGTCTATTTATCTCTGTCTGATTTTTCAGCTGCCGAAGTCACAACAACGTTATCCAGTTACAAACTCAATAAAATGTTTTAGCTCTCTCCTTAGGTTTGTTGCAAACTTGGGAGAAAGTACTCACAACCTAGACGCTTCACGTGATCTTATGACCAACACACGAGTGATATTGACTCTCTATTTCCTTTCAAGGTTGAGCTGGAAGCCCAGGGCGTGTTGGGTGTCAAAACGACTGTGATATGTCCGTACTTCATCCAGCAGACCGGGATGTTCGAAAACGTCAGTTCGAAATTCTTGCCCACCCTGAAGTCTAACGACGTAGCCGACAGGATCATAGAGGCGATACAGAGGGAAGAGAACCTGGTCACCATTCCGGGGATCTTCAGAGGACTCGGTATATTGAAAGTGTGAGTATATCCATCACCGACATACAAATTGATCGACCTGTAACTTTTTGTTTCTTGTCCGATCCTGGTTAAATTTCGACCAAATCGTAGATTAATGTTTCGGAATATTAGCCTGGGTTTTAGTCCCCAAGAGAAGGTGATAACTTGTCCATTATACAGGGAAAAACAAAAGTTCCCCATTCACTCTCAATTTTCAACCGTTCTGTGGCTAAAGTGAGTGGTAGAACCTATATATAGTTTCATTATGTTTCATATTGAATTATGATCCTTCTTTGACACAATGGTTTTCGATTAACATCGTTATCTTTAATATTCATTTACAATAATTCAGAACCTATAGCATGATAAGGGATACTTTGAATTACTATGTAATATTTCCACGTATTCGCAGTAAGGATGAACTAGAACTAAAAATAATGATGAAGCAATTTCAAGAATAGGAAATTCCAAATTGCATCTTGTAAAGAAGTATTTATTTCGAACAAGAACATAATATGATTCGACTAACCGTGACTTCGATGCATGTCAGGTCAGAGCTGACGACTACACTGGGATACTGAAGGTGCGGGTACAACTGCCGTCAATATCAACCAGATATACGTAGATGAAGTTGTACTATTTTTTTACGAACAAATGATTCTTATGGGGAATCACTCAAGGTGTGTTTTTTTCAGGATCATGCCATGGGAGGTGATATCTTTGTTCATAAGAGCCATCCTTCCTGATGCGGCCCCACATCAACAGATGTCACCGATAGTACAAATAAGGGAGACGGAAGACACGTTGCCACACAAGAGTGATAGCATAACTTCGGCGATGTCCCAATTGAATCACCGTCTGCTGGCGACAGGGAAAGATCTTTGACCAGTTTATACATACCGATGTGAATAGTTTAGTCGTTAGAATAAAAATTTGTCACCAACCAAAAATTGGATTTCATTTATAATGATAATAGTTATGCTTTTATTGTCAACAATTCACAAAAAATAATGAAAAAAGTGTTAAATAAATATAGGAATCTTGACAAAGGGCAGAGTTTGCTTTAAATGATGCAGGAAACGGGAAGAAGCGCTCTTCCACTCAGCCTTGAAGGTATTAAACGGAAGCATATTCATTCTCGAAACATTCAAAGCTAACTGAAAATTTGATATTTTTTCTATATACCTTTATTTCTCTTCTCCAAACCTTTTTCAATACAATAAATTGTCACTGACAAGCTAGTGAATTTTTCTTCTGGGCTCTCTGATGAGAACATTATTTAAACGCAGTGAGATTTTCTCCTCACTACTTGTATATTGGAATAATATTCATAATCTTCCATTTTATAGACACGAGGAGTGAAAATCCCAAAAATGATAATGAATGTACCACCTTCTCGATTAACCCACAGACAGTATTTAATAATTGAGTATAATGTCTTAAAAAACAAACAAAAAAGGTATAACCCAAACACCTTTATAAAAATACAATTAGGAGCCTACACGTATATTATTATAGATATACAATATGAATGTAGTAAAATTAGGAAAGTGATTGTGATTAATCATTATTATTCAAATAAATTCTGTGAAAAATACTTATATCTAAAATCTTTAAACGAAAGAAATTGAAATAAAAAAAAAGGCTTTCAAAGACCATGATGTATAACAGATTATTCGTGAAGATGCTGAATCAATTTATCAATTATAATTATGAAAAAAATATGAAAAGAGGTGATCTAAAATTGCCTAAATGACCTTATTCTGAATTTTTCTTGACATGATGATGAAATACATTTTTCCTCCAAGCAGAAGGAAAAGTGGCTTCACGATGACACTTAACAAGCAGGAAAGGTGTACTTTCTATGCCTAGGCAGAAAAAGTTTGTTGCTATGCAACATTCCTAAAAATTTGAATGATATTGGTAATAAAAATTGACACTGATATTGGGTGAATACAAAAAGATGGAGTTCTCAACAAAAAATGTACACAAAATTGTTTTTATAACATTTAGAGCAAAAAATCATGTTTCACACGGCAGCAAATGTAGATTGACTTTTTTTTTATTTCAGCTATTGTATCACATTATATTTTCTCCATTGATACATTTTATTCGAATGATATATACATTATAATTAATTTTCTAGTAGAAATGAAATGAATGATCAGACAGTAATTCCTGGTATAAGATCATTCATGAAGTATTATCGACTGTATTGTATAATTGAAATTACAAATATAGTGAACAAAACTTACATATCATTAAGATATCTCAAAATATCAGTACTCATATTATAGTGAACCAGAAGGAATATATGAACTATCAGCAGAGGCAGTCAATATACTACTTTGATGCCTAGTAAAACAAATAACTGTAATGTTTCGAGGTTCCTAATACCATCCGGTATTTTATCATAAGTGATAATAATTTGGTATGTGGAAGAGCATTTTGAATGCATTCTCTCGGTGCGAGGGGACAGATAACAAGTTTCTGCGTCCTAAATCAACATTGTGCACTCCTGAACGAGACTTTATTTTACTGTATAGATATGAAGGTATGGATTCAAGATGTACAATATGGAGATGTTTGCCAACTTATGTAAGAAATACACTCAGTTCCAAAAAAGTGACGCACTTGATATTTGACCTATCTTCTTAAAAAAAAACAAAAAATAGTAGGCCGATTTTCCTTTTTTTTATTTGTTGGTAGGTAATGCATTTGTCTTCAACAAAAAAATGGAGAGGTGAAATTTTTTTCAAAGCCTCCTTGATGGTGGTGGAATAACTCGAACCATGATTTATTCCTAATTTTTGACTCACCCTGTGTGTTAATTGAGTCGTGGTATACAAAGTGCTTGGACCCTATATAAAAGAGGCTTCTTTCGCGAACATTTTGTGTTTTCATTCATTGATTCATCTCTAAAATTTTCCGAATTTCAGCTGTTTTGCTGATACCTTACGCTTATTCCACAAATTAAATTTATTGAAGGATCAGAGTACTCAAAATTGATGGGGTTGTACTCTGGTAGGATCACATTATCTTTAAAAAATAAATGCCGTTGCCATAGCAACTAATTTGTTGTATGCCTCCATATTTGACCATTTGTCGTTGTGTCATTAATTAAGTGTCTTGTTTTATTGACTGAAATTACATAAAATGCCTCAAATAAATCCTGAACAAGCAGTAAGATTAGTTGCGTTAGTAAACGATGGGCGTAGTAAACGTTACGCCGCTCGTAGAGCAATCCGCAAGTACGAACAAACAGGAAGCACCGCTCGGAGGGTCGGTTCTGGTCGCCCCCGAAAAACTTCTCCAAGAGATGATAGCTTCTTGAGATTGCGGATTTCACGGAATCGATCAAATACTGCGGTAAATGTTCAGCAAGATCTTCGCCAAATCCGTGATGTTGCAATAAGTAAGCAGGCGGTATGTATAGACGTCTAAAAGAAGTTAATTTTGAAGCTAGGAGACCTGCAAAGGTCCCAAATTATTGCCCGAACATCGTGCTGCTAGAAGAAATTTTGTTGAAAATTATGGACAGTGGAATAGTCCTGAATGGTCGAATGTCTTGTTTACGGATGAGTCAAAGTTTTACCTTAACATGGTGGATGGAAGAAAAAGAGTGTGGAGAAGAACTGGTGAACGGTTTAATCTAAATTTAATAACAGAATGCGAAAGTTTTAATGGTCCGTTATGGTGTGGGGAGGGATTTCAATGAATGGAAAGACACCCCTTCATGTTTTTCCGGTGAGGCAGTCGATGAATGCCCAAATTTACATTGACATTTTAGAGCAGTATGTCTTACCGTATGCAGAGTTAGTGGGCAATAATTTTATATTGATGCAGGATAATGCCCGACCACACACCGCAGCAATAGTGCGAAACTTCTTAGAAGCTACTGGTATTACCACATTACAATGGCCTGCGAGAAGCCCCGATATGAATCCTATAGAACATTTGTGGGATGAATTAGGGAGAAGGGTACGTTCTCGCGAGAGGTCTCCGGAAAGTCTCGCAGAAATGGCAGATGCATTAGTGGAAGAATGGGATCGTATACCAATGGAAACGATAAGAAACTTAATTACCAGTATGCCTCGTAGATTAGAAGTTCTTAGAGTTGCTAGAGGAGGCAATATACGGTATTAAGCAGTCATCCCAATTTATAATTTTGTGTTTAATAAACATCTTTTTTATAATTATTGGTATCAGTTTATTTCATTAGAAAATTGTTTCTCGATAAATTCAGAAAGTTAGTAATCTGCAATGATTCAGCAAAAAAATCTGTAATTGGAAAAATTTTAGAGATAAATCAATGAATGAAGAAACAAAATGCTCGCAGAAGAAGCCTCTTTCGTATAGAGTGTAAGCACTTTCTATGCCATTACTGAATTAACAAACAGGGTGAGTCAAAAATCAAGAATAAATCATGTTTCGAGTTATTCCACCACCATCAAGGAGGCTTTGGAAAAATTTTCACCTCTTTATTATTTTTTAAAGACAAACACATCACCTACCAACAAATACAAAAATAATAAAAATCAGCTTACTATTTTTTTTTTTCATGAAGATAGGTGAAATATCAAGTGCGTCACTTTTTTTAGAACTGAGTGTATATTGTTTATTGTTATAAAACAATATACCTACTTCGACTACTCGAGCAAACTTTGCATGAGACGATATAGTTATGATACAAGAAACAAAGTCAACAATGTACGACTTGAAAAACAAGCTTATAATACCATCTATTAAATTAAAACGTCTATATCAAAACTTAAAACAAATAGGTTTAAAGTTGGCTTACATAGAAAATACAAAAAAAGATGATGATCTTTTCTGATCCTCTCTTTTTCTTCCTTTCAATTTTATTCTTATCATTATGTGGATTGATTATTCAGTTCAAGTATTCATATTGTGAAAAACATTTTTAAACATGAAATAATTCATCTCTTTTCATACACAGATCGCTTCAACCTATGTGAATAAGGTCCAATATGAATAGTACATTATACATCAAGGAACAGAACTGCAAGATTATTTCCAAGGTACGATTTGTAGCTCGAGGGCGATTCATCGATATGGGTCTGAAGTTGCCAATGAAATAAAAAAACATCGATATTTTTCAACTTTAGGATTTTTTGTGTCGAAATTATTCATTATTTGTCAAAACGGCACCATCCAGAAATGTAAGAATATCAAGTAATAACAAATATATCTCCATAATAAAATCGGACATGTTGATTTGTTTAGTGTAGGTGTTCGGTATCTTCACATATAATGTGAAAGTCTGACCGCATTCAATGAAACTAGCTATACACCATGAACATGAACTTGAATCGTCTTACATGTGAGGAAATCAAGAAGGTGCTTCTTAAAACAACGTTTCTCTTCCTGTTAGTAAACACATGCATTAATACCTATTGCACAGGAAGGGGAGCAATGAGAATCCGCTTCTGAGGAAATAACAAATGTCAACACCGAGGAGAATATTTCTATGAACATCTATTAATTCTAGCTACCTATTCACTGAATGAAGTGAAAATTTCGCCTGGAAATATTATCAACAGTGAAAACTCAGATTTTTTTGGATTTTCTCTCCTCTGCAATTGCATTACCTCGTTGGTCCCAGCACTGGGACCAAACGCTCCATAAGTCGAAACTTGTGCGGGGTTAGGTATGCATACAAACACAAACATCCATGGCCTAACTAGGATTCGAACCTATGTCTCGATGGGACTCCCCATACGAACTATTTCAATATACTTGTAGTAAGGACAAATCAGATGATTTGCCCCAAAATGTCACTGCGTTTGAAGAATTTTCCTATCAGAGAGCCTGAAAAAAAAATTCACTAGCTTGTCAGTGACAATTTATATTGAAAAAGGTGTGGAGAAGAGAAAAAAGGTACATTTTTTATGTTCTGGTTCTCACGGAAAGGGATATCCTGTAATGTTCAGAGAACATCGTGAGAACCAAGGGAAATAAGGTAAAAATTGTTGTTTTTCCTGAATTTCTGGAGGTTATATGCCTCAGGGAACACCTCT